CCCCCCCCCCCCCCCCCACAGACCGTGACAGAGAAAATCCATACCCATAACAGACCGTGACAGAGAACCCTGGTACCCATCACAGACCGTGACAGAGAAGCTGTAGTTGTAAAGGATCAGATAAACGGTTAACTACAAATGTGTCGCAAAGGAACGGAACAAAAGGATTTCTATTTTATTAGTAACAATAGATTCATCGTGTTTCACATTTTTAATCCCGCAAGGGATTGCGCTAACAGCTTTTTATTATTTTTGGCCGTTTTCAGTCAAAACACAATTGTGAAATTGTATAAATGCATAAACAGAATATGAAAATTAGTCGTCTTTTTCATAATCGTAAATCGCAACCATGATTAAGACAACAGTTAATGCAAATGAAAGAGACGAATACTTCTCATGTCATTTTCATCCGTTTAAATGGATTATTAAAAATGCTTTTCAGCCTTTGTTATCATTGCCATTTTCAATTAAGTATTTTTTTTTCTTTCTTACACGTACAGAGAGCAAATATACGTAATCCATCTTGCAGTAATTTTTTTTGTTTTTCAGTTGCTGTCAACGAATTCGCCGAACGAAAAAATATGCACATCATTATGATGAAAACTACTTAGCAGTTATGAAACAAAGCCGTTTAAGAGAAAACATATTTTAAAACGTAATAGTGAGTCATAATTCGCTGTAGTTTCGCTTTTGATGCTTTACTAATACTTTCATCATATGAGCGTGATCGCAGACTATGTGATAGAAGAGAGAGCTGTTTAACGGGGTGATCATGGGTGTGGGCATGCATGTGAATATGGATTCCAGTAATCGAAACAAAGCAGTATACACTCACACCTTCAACTTTTTATTTTTTCGATGGACACACATTAGAAAATAGTAGAAAAATAAAACAAATAGATTCATGATACAAACTCATAAATCAAGATATGATATAATCAAGCACATGCTTCATGATGTCATCTCGTTAGTTTATATCAACTTTCATGAAATTTCGTTCCGTAGAAAAAATTCAGGATTCAAAGTGCTAATGTGAGATTATGTTAATTTGAAAGTAATAATATCACCATGAATTTTCATATGCACGTAAGCAATAGAGTGTCTTTAACAGAAAATCTTGAATAATCAAACTCCAAATGTAAAAAAAAGTAACAACGTCAAAAATTTCTTTTTTCCCTAGTGTCGTAGGGACCTGAGATGGAACCGATCTGGATTTTTGACGACCGGTACCGGTACCAGTCCAAACAGGTCAGACCGGACCGGACCGGCCGGTCTACC